ATCTTCTTCTTGTTGCTCCACCGGTACAAGTTGAAGAGGTGTAACAGTGACACAGTAGAAGATCCCGAAGGTAATCAAGATCCCGTGATCATCTACAGAAGTCGACGAATCTCAACCCGAAGGTCAAAGATCCGCCGACCCCATGCAATCCGAACGGCACGACACGACTCGACTGATCGCACGCAACCCTGCTTTACGTTCGTATGATCCAGCTTCCCTTCGTGTGTTGTTCCCGGTCATCCCGAATCAGACAGATTCACAAAATTTTAAGCCGTAAGTTTTCTATGTCAACCTTTTAGATCCGTTGCGCATAAGTTTACGTTTGCTATTGAATTCGTAATTCATAACGAGATCCTCATATATCCCAACAAAAATATTATTTATATTAATATAAACAGGTCAGCGGGCTAATATATACTTAAAGTGAAGTAATAAAAAAATGTTCTAAGGTACGAAACCCCCATACATCGTACGAGATTCTCACTAGTTATTTATAAAAATTAGTAAAGTATTATAATTTGATAAGAAAACGGTAAAATAATGATGATAATTATAAATATACGAGTTGATGAATAATAAATTTTATGGATAAATATAAAGTATTAATTGATTTTTAATTTAAATTTTATTAAAAAAATATAAAAGAAAGGTAGAGTAAATATTGGACGTAGTATATAAAAAGAAATGTAGTTTATTTCAAAGCCATGGTCTTGCTAATTTTTTATGTTAACCCTCTAATGGAGACGAGATCGCCCTCGCGTTCCTCGATAAATATGATCGACTTCGGATTTAAATTATTTATTTCTTGGCATTTTTCTTCCTTTGATTTATTTTCTTAGTTAATTAATTATTAGGGATAAAATAAATATCTTGCAGCTTGTTAGGGAAGAAAGACTAGGTCTAGTAGGACTATATATATTATCCGTCAAAGCAGTAAAACAACGGTGGTTGATTTTGAGAATTTTATTTGATATTGAGAGTTCTTTACGAGAGAGTATATCGTATTTCCCGTTCTTATTCAAGTACATCAGTTAGTATCCAGAAACCAGCAACGACCCGCGATGCCGCCAAAGAAAGAAAACATTGCAATCGGTGCTACCATCGACGACCGATTCCAACAGATGGACGATCAGATTCATGGGATGGATGATCGATTCACGGACCTTTCCACGGGGATCGAGGAGTTACGTTTGGCTATGCGAACCATGATGGAAGAGGTGCATACGAACCGTGACACCGGCGACTGGGGCGCGCGTGGAGGGTTTCGCGGGGGACGTGGCTATGGCGGGGTGCCCCGCCGGCGTTCACCTTAGCCTCCACCCGACAACGAGGAGGACGAGGACACCATCAACATGGTTAACCCGTTCGCGGAGTTGCAGGATCACCATGACCAGGAGGGCGGGTTCGACGGACATGGCTCCCGGGGCTGGCGACGCAGAAACCAGGAATTCTCCAGCGGCGGGGGGCCTGGGTCTTCGACCGTGATGGAGCAGACCTCGGATGGATGCATTGCAACTGGCCTGACGGTGACAACCAGCACCATCGTGGGGGGCACCGCGATTGGATCGATGGTGACGACTAGCGACATCGCGGCTGGGGTCCCGACGACAGCAGGTTGGGTTTTCACGCCGGCGGACAGCAACACCGACGTGGGTGGGTCGCACGAGATGACACCGGGAACGATGAGGGTGACATACACCGTCGCAGCTGGGGCCATGGTGGTGCCGGGCGTGATTTCGATGCCAACAGACAGCAGCAACAGAACAATTTTAACCGGGCAGCTGCGGGCCCGTGGCTGTACCGGCGTGATTTTCGCCGACCGATGGACGGACACAGCAACCCGCATTGGGAATAAGGGTTTGGGTCGAGATTCTCGAGTTTTCGGAAGGAGCAGAGGCAGTGGAGTTCCTCGACCGGTGGGCTGCAGTTGAGTCCGTCCTCAAATTTAAGGAGGTCCCAAACGACAAGCGTGTCACGCTTGTTGCCACGCAATTCCGTGGACGAGTGGCGGCATGGTGGATGCAACTCACGAGTTTGCCGCATCGCCAGGGAAAGCCAGAGATTTCCACTTGGAAGCAGTTCCGTAAGTACGTAGAACGTGAATTTCTACCTTATAATTATGATCATGTGGTTTATCAAAATTACATACTTTGCAGAAAGTATCGCGTTCGGTTCACGAGTATATAGAGGACTTTTATCTCCTCTTAACTCGTGTGAAGATACGTGAGACGAAAGCCCAATTGGTTGCTCGAT